TTATGCAAATAACATTTAAATAGTCAAAAATGTGCATGATTGAATTTTATAATACAGCTACACGGTGAACTAATTTGGGTGTTGGATCTGCTAGAATCAATAAATTTCCTTATATTGTATTGGAGGAGAAGAAGAGAAATCCTTGAGATACATATAATTAACAGCATAGTATTTGTCAAAAACTGACTAGCAATATACAAAATACCTATTTAAAATTAATATAACTTGATTATAGGCTGGCTATGGAATATTTGCTGCTTTAGTGCTATTATATGACCAAATTAATTTTTCTGTGGAAAACCTCAGAACTCAAGATTCTGAAAGTTCAATAGTTATATATGCATTTTTTTAATCCTCACCCGAGGACATTTTTACATTTTTTGTTCAGATAGAGCAGGAGGGAGAGAGGAAGAGAGAGAGAGAGAAACATCGACGTGAGAGGGACACATCTAGTGGCTGCCTCCCAAAAGACACAACCAGGGCCAGGGCCAAATTGCAACCAAGGTACGTGCCCTTAGCGGGAACCGAACCCAGGTCTCTCTAGACCACAGGCCGACGCTCTAACCGCTGAGCCAAATTGGCCAGGGCGTTATATATGCACTTTAACTTAATTTTCAACACCCAATAGCAAGAATAAAATATAATTCAAGTTAATAAGAAAACTTTACATGTCAACATAAGTTAAAATGTAAGAAATTCTTCTAATATAAATAAGTGTGGTTTTATTAATATTAAGGACTATGACTCTAAAATATAACTTCACATTTTTTAAATAAATTTAGTTCAAATGCAGAACATACCTTTGTTTATGAAATATTAAACATCTTTACATTAAAAATTATTCGGATTATCAAGCTTCAAATTAAAAGACTCCAAGGAATAAAAGTTACTGTCACAGTCAAGTATATAAGAATAACTTTAAAATTTCCTTTTAACCAAAATACTGTAATCAATATGCCAAGAGAGAGGAATTTAGACCACAAAATTCCCTCAAAGTATACTGTTATACTTTTTTTTTTAACATGAAAATTGGCATTTATTTTATTGTATTTTTTTTATCATCACCCGAGGACATTTTTCCATTTTTGTTCAGTTAGAGTGGGAGGGAGAGAGAAGAAGAGAGAGAAACATCGACGTGAAAGGGACACATGGAGTGGCTGCCACCCACATGACCCAACCAGGGCCGGGGACAAACTGCAACCGAGGTACATGCCCTTAGTGGGAACTGAACCCGGGTCTCTCTGGACCGCAGGCCTGCGCTCTAACCGCTGAGCCAAACCGGCCAGGGCAGCATTTATTTTTATTTTTTCTTTATTCATGTTAGAGAGAGAGGAAGGGAGAGGGACAGAGACATAGAAACATCTATGAGAGAGAACATCGACTGGCCGCCTCCTGCATGCCCCTTACTGGGGACGGGGCCCACAACTTGGGCATGCGCCCTGACTGGGAATGGAACCTGCGACCTCCTGGTTCATGGGTCAATGCTCAACCACTGAGCCACACTGGCCGGGCATACTGTTATACTTTCAATACAGTATACAATATGCTACTTAAATGTGAAAAAAAAGGTCATTTTTCTACAGCTAAAGATACACTGATATATCACACAGTAATGCACGGGTTGGGGGGGGGGTTACAAATTAAATGCTATGGAATTATAGGCAGCTATTCAAAAAATATCTATTGTGCATTCTTTCACTAAGTAAACATTAACCTTCTGTTTTATCTTTTCTAAAAATATGTTTATATTAAAATTTTGGGTAAAAAGAAACTTTCATGTTATAAACAAAGAACACATGATATTTACATAGCATTTGCCTTAAGGAAGAAAAAATCTTATAAAAACGTATGTTAAGGAAGCAATGGATTAAGTAGTAACTAAAACAGCCAGCAAATTTTTTTCTAGTTAAATGCTCTTATACTGCCACACTGAATAAGTTCTCCCTAAGCTGTTTGCTGATCATCAGTTTCTTTAATTGGTAAAGCTACAATCAAAATCCTTGGCAACATGCTCTCATAATGTTATTTACTAACAAACGAACTCATCTTCCTGATGAGTTCTATCCACCTACCCCATTATCTGAATGTTTTAAGTCAATGATGACATCCTTATACAAAATGCATCCATCTACAATGGGAATTATTCATTTTACTTCTCATCACACATCGGTGCTTCTTGAACCAACTCCCACAATCCACACGAGTAATGAAAACACATCTCTTCCTCTGGCAAACAGAAGCAGAAAAATAAGTCCTATATTTTGCTGCATGCTTAAACTGTACTCTGCAAAACTTGTCATTCTTTGGGCAAGACATGTGACAAACAGCACCAAAAAACCAAGTATTCATATTATATATAAAGAATGTCCAGGAAAAATAGAAAAGTATCTAACAGAGGTGACTGAGAAAAGGGTATTGTTTAAGGTAGAAAGAAACTCTGTTGTTTTGAAGTTTCACTAGTTTTTCTCTTTTTTGTCATAAAGGGTACTGTGATAGTTATTACACTATTTCCACCTATCATTTTTATTTAATGTTTTAAATTAAGATTGAAAATTTTTAAAGAAACACACTCATTTTAGAGATAATAGTAAGTAAAGGTTTCTAATCTCTAATAAGTCACCGAGTGTCCTAAATGGATTTACTGGATTTACTTATTAAGTAAATATAATTAAGTTTGTAATTACTTTTTAAATCCCTAAGATTTCCAAATATTTTCAGAATCAGCTTAAGTTTTCACGTGACACCTTCATCGTGAGTATATTGGAAAAATAAAGCCCCAAACTGACTATTCAAGAAATATGACATTTTATATGACCAATTCATATTCCACAGTCAATATAATTAACAACTTAATAGTAGATGGCTCCTTCTGTCATTTATTTGTTTCCCCAAAAAGTTTCCATTTAAAGATTGACTGCATTCTTTAAATACATACAAGGAAATTTTAAACCTAACTTTTTATTCCACAAATCAATGCAATTACAAGGTGTTAAACAGATTTGGGGATATACCATTTCAGTACTACTTTATTTATTTCTGATTACTCTAATTAAACTTAACAGTAAAACTAATTTCTACAATAATGTTTGTATACGAGACTTCATGCCAGATTTTCACTGCACTAAAGAGTTGAATGTGTCTTTTTTTTACCTCGGAGGAAATATGTCACTTCCTTTCGTAATCTACTGTGTATGCAGAGAAGCCCATCTGTTAAGGGCTGATCCAGCAGACAGCACTACTGCTGCAGATTCAACCCTCTCAAATCAGTTTTCAGCTTGTGAGCGCTCTATTGCCTCTTATCACAATAAAATGTATTAAATACGTGGATAAATAGTTATTAAAATAACCTAGTATCACTTCCTCTAGAGTAAAATTGGTATTGGATAGGTAAAAATTGGAAAAACACTTTAAATGGGTTCTTTTACATTTACAGAAATAAATTTACAGAAATACAGTACCTACTATAACATACTAAAATATTTTGAGATCTCTCCTCTTTCCTTTTAAGAAGGAAAAAAAAAGACAAGTATTAACCTCCTATTTACAGCTGGTTAAAATTAAAACTCCCAACAATATTTCCATTAGAGTTGTAAAAAGAATTTGGTTATATCAATGCAGTAACATTATCCAAACTTATAACTGACTTTTGTGGTGATATATTTAAAGGGTAAAGAGAAGTAGAAAGAGACATTCTGCATTTAAACAGTAATAAGTATAACAAAGCTAGGGTGGATATTCTCCTATCTTTGACTTGAACAGTAAGCAAAAAAGAGAAAAAAACAGCTTGAACGTTCCCGTGAATTCAAGAGGCTCGTGAACTGTAGACACATCTAATCCGTGGCACCACTGTATAGCTGCGGCTTCCTTTCAGTTTTCCAATAGAGCAAATAAAAATAATGGCTTAGTTGAAACATCAGACTACACGGGTGTTACAAAATCTCGCTGCAAGCATGCTTTTATATTCCTGTGACTCCACACCAAATACAATGGTCAGCTGACTGCTCCTGGTTGAAGCCTTGCCTTCCAACCCCCGACCTCACCGTGTGTCAAAGACTATCGAAAGGAAATAGTTGAAAAGCTTTGCTGCAGCAAAAACTGCATTTACAAAACGCTGAAAACGAACTCCTCTTAGTTATGTGCAATCTATGATTCCCTTCTCCTTATTTCTTCCCCTGACATTTGGAAAGCCTCTCAGCCTCTGTAGATAGTGCAAAACATTAAGTCACGCACAGTCCTGCAGGAACGCTTTCTTGTCATGACATAAATAAATAAACCCACAAACGAAGGGAACCGGGGGCTGCACCGCACACCTCCGCGTTGGCCTCTACCCTGGGCCACGCTCTCTAAGACAACCTCAGGAACCAACCTGTGCGAGCTGGGGCCTCACATGTGAGCGCCGCGCGCGCGCGCGCACACACACACACACACACACACACACGACTAACGAGGTAGCACGTTCAGGACAACATCACAAAGAAAGGCTGCCGGAGCGGGTGGGGGCTGGGGGACACAGCCACGCACTCCCCGTCCCCGCACAGCTCGGAACACGCTGGGAAGCGGCCGCAAAGCGGCCTCGCTCCCTCCCCGCTCCAACACCCCAGCGGCTCAAGTTCAGCGGCTGCGCGCCGCACGTTTCAGGAGCCCGGGGACCTGGAGCCCCGGGGACCAGGCTTTCATCCTCGCAGAGCGACACCGCGGACAGTTAGCAGCGCGGGAGAACGGGCTCCAGGGAGGAGGAGGCCTCCGGTCTCCGCAACTCAACTCTCAGGTGGACCCAAGCTGCCCGGCCAGGAGGACGCCCTGCTCCGCGGGACGGGGCCGCACACCGCGCTCGGGGCGCAGGGGCACCGGCGGCGCCGCGGAGGTGGCGCGGCCGGCGCGGCGCGCACCGGCCACCCGGGCGGCAGCGGCCGGACCCCCGCGCCCGCAGGGACGCCGCGCGGGGACCCGGGGTGCGGGCTGGGGCCGGGCGCGCGGACAGCACGCGGCTGGTCCCTTACCAGGTTGAGCACGGTCTCCACGATGTCCCGGTTGCTGACCTCTCCGACCTGTATGAGTCCGATCAGCACGGCGAATTTCATCCGGATGTTGCGGATCGGCACCGAAGGGTTAATCATCCCCGCGGGCAGCACCACCGGGCCGGGGCCGGGGCCGGGCGCCCCCCGCGGCTCCCCCAGCGCGCTGCCCCCGCCGCCGCCGCCGCTGCTCCCGCCGCCGCCGGCCCCGACGGCGATGAGCCCCAGGGGCTGAGGCTCGAGCCCCGGGCCCGGCTTGTCGCTCGCCATTGGCCCCCCGCCTGAGGACAAGGCTGAGCTGAGGCGCCGCCTCCGCCGGCACCGTTACACCCGCCTCGTCCCCGCGCCCCGGCCGGCGCCCCGGAGCCCCAGCATCCACAGCGCCGCAGCCCCGGCTCGCTGCCGCCTGCGCCTCGGACCGGCCGCGGCGGCGGGGGCTCGCAGGCGCCTCCGCGGTGGCAGCGCCGCTCCGCTGCCCGGGGAGCAGCTGTGCCGCCGCCGCTGCCCCGCTCCCTCCCGGTCCGTCCGGCCCGCCCGCCGCTCGCGGAGATGCCGCCGCCGCCGCCGCCGTCCGAGGAGCCTGGGGCGCGGGCGCCGGCCACGGCGCGGGCAGTGCTGGGCTCGGCTGCGGCCGCCGCTGTGGACCCGGTGCCGCCGCCGCCACCAGCGCCACTGTTGTTGTGAAGCCCCGACGCCGCCGCTCACTCCGCCATGTTGCCGCCCCCTGCCTGCGGTGCGGCCACTGCGCCTGCGCAGCGCCTCCGGGGGGCGGGGCCGCGGTCTCGGGTCTGCGCTGGCCCTCCTCCCCTCCCGCCGCCCACCCGCCACCCCTGGCCCCTCCCCCAGCTCCCGCACCGAGACAGGTGCCGGGCCGGGGCCGCCGCCGGACGGGGAGCGAGCGGCCGAGGGGCGGGCGGCGCCTGCGGGCCCCCGGGGCGCTTCTCCCCGCGGGAGGGCCGCCGGGGCGTGCGGCCGGCTCGGGCCCTCGCCTGCTGCCGGCGGCCTCGTGCTGGAGGTGCTTCGTCCCCTCGACACCCAGCGCCGCAGCCACAGCTGCTCCGGCGGCGCCACGTGCCTCCGAGGTAGGGGAGGCGCAGCTGGGCGCGGGGTCCCCCAGCGAGGCGCCCCTGGGCACAGCCGCGGCGTCGCGGGGAGCTCGCGCCCAGAGCCGCCCTGCGGAGCCCGAGCGGCCCGCACCCCGGCGGCGGCTCGCTGGGAGCCAGACCCCGGCCGGGGAGCCCCTCGTGCTCCGCAGGAGCGAGGCAGCCCGGGACGCCCCCCTTGTCCGTGGGCCTGTGCACCTCGGAGGATGTCCAGCGGTCTGTGACGAAAGTATCTTCTGTGTCTGCACAAGTACAGAAGCAAAAAAAACAACTTTCGTTGGAAAAGATTCAAATGCCCGCAGTCCTCTTGCTCTGGTGTTGAATTAAGACGGACAAAGTGTGGCCGCCGCCTCCTCCCTCGCAATGAAGGGTGTCGTTTTCTTTAATATTTCATGAGGTGTGCGCTTTTCAATAAAGATGTATTAAAAGCTGCTAGAAATATTAGGTATCCTGAGGGATGTTGAAATCATTTGAATTGTCAATATACAAATTTCCTTTTTTTTGGTTATGCCACATGTTATCTTGGGCTGGCCGGTCAAGTGAACTCCCAGGATATTGGAACATGGTAAGATTCTAAACTACTGTAGATCATATATGACAAAGTTCCTCAAAACCAGTGCTTAGGATTAGTGCGTGTGTGTTTAGATTTGCACTGGAGAGATGGAGTTATTGAAACAGTTAACCAACAGTTGATGAAAGAAGTGGTCATTTGCACATCCATTAAAATTAAAAACAATTGAAATTATAAAATGCTAGAATGATTGAAACTGTGGAAATTTTACAAAACCAGTAACTATGAATACTGTGACTTGGATATGCTGTGTAATTGAAAACTCTCATGACATATATATCCACCTATAGCACTTGTGTGTATCATCTACTTTTACAAGTTCTGTTTTCATATGCAAATTTAAAATAACACATCTGTCTTCAGTGTGTAAATCCACACTGAAAGGTCATCACACTAACTTTTTTTTTTATTCCACTGGGCATGTACAGGATGAGACAAAAGTAGGTTTACAGTTGTTGTTGTTTTAATCCTCACCCGAAGACATTTTTTTTTTGATACTTTGTTCAGGCAGAATGAGAGGGAGAGAGAGAAAGAAACATCCATGTGAAAGGGACACATTGAGTGGTTGCCACCCACACGACCCAACCAGGGCTGGGGACAAACTGCAACCGAGGTACGTGCCCTTAGCGGGAAGCAAACCTGGGGTTCTCTGGACCACAGGCCAACGCTCCAACCGCTGAGCCAAACCAGCCAGGGCAGGTTTACAGTTTTGAGTACTCAAAACAAAGATTATTCTTGTATTATTCTTTATTAATTGCTGTATTATTTTCCATGCAAACAACTAGAAGCCTACTTTTGCCCCACCTTGTATGACACCCCATTCTTGTATTTTTACCTTTCTTGCATGACTGCTTTGAAAGTGACAACTTGAACTTTCTATTTTCTTTCTGAATGAATAGCTTAACATGATTTCATATTTTTGCTTTTATTTTCTATGTTTCGTTTATTAAGCAGTATATGTGTGCATTTCGGTTTTGTTTTTCCTGTTTGTTCATTTTCCTTCAGTAGAGACTGGGGCTGTCTAAAGAGGATATCACTATTTCAGAGTAGGAAAACCCTACTTCTGTTGTATACTTAATTCAGTATCGGAGGTTTTCAATAAAGCTTACCAATTAAAACGCGTTCTTCAGTACGCTGTTAGCTCCTTGCAGGCAGTGTGGTACTGTGGAAAGTGCACAAGCTTGGGAATCATACTCACTACTTATTACCTGTGCAGTCTACTCAAGTTATTCACTAATCAGTGTCCTCATTTACTAACAGCAGTGAGAATTTAATGAAATAATTTCAGCCTGCATACATTAAATGTGTCCTTGCACCCTTAGTATACAGGCACAATGTGTTGAATGACCTATAACACATGTTAAAACCAATTATAACCACATGCAAGTCTTTATAATTGCACGGTTATATGTTTTCAATACTATCCCCAAAAGCATAAAGTATAGAAAAGACAGCAGGTCCATTTCCTTGTAGCCTACAAAGCCTAGTTCTCTGTAAATGTGCATTTAGCTTAGAGTTTGCATTAACGATATTTAGAAATAAAATATAGGGATATAATAATAGAAGCTACCTAAAATGTTTGTTTTTAAGTCTTCAGATTAAAAAATATTTGATGTGGTGAGTATTAATTTTATATACATTTTTCTTTAATAGATGCATATCCATACTTCTGAAGGTCAATTCTTCAAAGATAAGAAGCCCATGAAGCCGAGTTTCAAAAGACAATAACATATAGTGGTTGAGAACACATGCTCCAGATATAGTGGACCTGGGTTTGGATTCCAGTCCCACCACCCACCTAGCTGTGTGAGCTCCTGGACAGATGACTTCTCTTCAGACTCATAGTTTACCCAGCCCAAAGCAGAGATTCACAGTATTACATGATGAAAGGAGCTAATACATGTAAGGTAATTAATGTAGTAGCAACTGTCAAATAATGTTTCCCTTCTTTGGCTGTAGGAAAAGGCTGTGGTTATTTTTGTGTTTTCAGCACCTACAATGCCTGGCTTGTAATTTACATTTAATAAATGAGTTCAAAATGAATGACTGAAAACAACGGTTCTCCAGGCTAAATATTCCCATTCTCTTCACCTGTTATTTAAAATACAGGTTTCTATAACAGTCTGAGGAATACAGTAGACCCAGAAACATGGAAGTAGGGCACAGACTGACATCCCTCAGAAGAGGGGGAGAGGGGTGGGAAGAGATAAACCACAGAACTTATATGCATGTATGCATGATCAATGGACATGGACAACTAAGCAGGGGACGGGGCAGGGGTGGGGTGGGGTGGGGGGTGCCAATGGGGTAAAAAGGTAAAATATCTAACAAAAAAATAAATTAAAAATTTATTAAAAAAAATACAAAAACCTGAAAAAAAATAAAAAATAAAAAAAAATAAAATACAGGTTTCTTGCTGTCCTTTAAACTTAATCTGGACAAAGTACTCCAAATTCTAGGTAGGTTTAGACCAGTTATAAAAAAAAAAAAAAAGAGGGAAACTAACGTCAACCTTTAGAAATACAGCTCTTGTTAATGTAACCCAAGTCAAATGAGTTTGCTTTGCTTTGCTTTGGCTCAGCGTTTTTTAATAATATGTCAGTAATGATTCGTGTTTGGCAGGTAGTAGGTTCTCAAATAATTTTGTTTCCATTCCCCACTCATTAAAATTTTTATCATCTGAAGCACCAAAGGTTTTGTTTTGTTTTGTTATTGTTTCTTTTCTTTCTACACATGCTGTTCCAATGTGTAGCACATCGGCAACATCAGCTCCATGTGTAGGTGTTGAGCCATAAAGTGCAGAGATGTACATATTTAAATTTTTTAAAACTTTTTTCTTTATTGATTTTAAATACAGAGGATGGGAGAGGGAGAGAGAGATAGAAACATCGATGAGAGAGAACATCGATTGGCCGCCTCCTACATGCCCCCCACTAGGGATCGGACCCACAACCTGGGCATGTGCCCTGACTGGGAATCGAACCAGCGACCTCTTTGTGCATGGGTGAGTCAGTGCTCAACCACTGAGCCACAACGGCAGGGCTAAATTTAATGTATTTTATATTCACATTTTCTATTTATTTTTTGGCATGCCCATTTATTCAACATGATTAGGTAACTGTCAAATATATGTACCATATAGAAATACAGTATTTTTTAAAAAACAGAACACTGAATATTTAAGAAGGTATTGTGAACCCTTAATTCAGAAGGCACTTCAGTAACTTTCAGTGCTTCAAATTCATGATCATCATCACTGTACAATACTGAAGAAAAAATGTATTTGTACAAACAATACTGTATTATGCAAGAAAATCTTGTTTCAGCCCATTTCTTTTTCTTTCTATACAATTAAAAATAAAATGCAGTGTCAGTATAATTTTTATAAATATTTTGTTTATTTTAATGAAGCTGGTACAGACAGTGTCCATTTAAAACCCATATCCCACTCCTGGCTGCTTTGGCTCAGAAGGGCACGTACCTGGGTTGCAAGTTCATTCCCCAGCCCCAGTTGGGGTTGTGCAGGAGACAACCAATGGATGTGTCTCTCTGGCATCAATGTTTCTCTCTCTCTCCCCCTCCCTCCCTTTCATTTT